ACAAAAAAAAAAAAAAAAAAAAAAAACCATAAACATTTATGTCTCTGGTACGTTTATAATTGACACCTCTCATTTTACTTTTCGCATACTCTTTTTCAATAAAATTTCTTATTACTATATTACCCAATATACAATTACTTCTAAGGACAAAAGTATCTTAAAAAAAATACTTGTCCGTAACCCTTTCTCTTTTATTCCTTTTTTTTTATTATTTTTTTTGAAGTAGAAACACGGGTACATGTTTGTTATTTTTTATTCTCTCTCCAAAATTTCCTATGCCCTGTTAAAGTCTCTTCCCTCCGCTAAAAAAAACTCACAAAATCCACATTGCATAATATATTTAGGCCTCGTTCACTTTGTGAATTCAAGTTTTCAATTCGAACTGAGATGTGACATTTTCTCAGAGTTTTTCATTATAGCAGAAAAAGTTAAATATGATATTTTCTGAGAGCTTTTTACTGTAAAAACTTAAAATTGAAAACTCGAATCGGTAAAATGAACGAGGCACTAGTCTTCTTTCTCATCCCAGAAGCTAATCTGTTTGAAAGACTTGACTTGTCTAATTTAGGTAAACGTGAAAGTTGTACAAAAAGAGCACAACAAATGGATATATAATCACCCATTTTAGTAATTTCAGCAAGAAGGTGATGCTGATGGCACTTAAAAGAAAATTTCTCTCCTACAGATTTCTGAAATATGATTTGGGCACTAAATAAAACGAAAATTTGTTCCAAAAAAAAGTTAAAACAACTCCACTAATTTTTTTATATTAAAGGCAATACTACAATCTCTGAAGAGAGAGAGATTGATTTTAGATTGTAATTATGGGGTTGTTTGGTTAGGAGATTCGTACTCCGATTCGAATCATGGTTCATGGTTCGTTACAGTATTTCTTCTCACAAAAAATACACGTAAATCAAAAATAGTTCTAATCTCATGATTCTAATCCATGAACTTAAACGTCTTCAACAAAAAAAAAATTGCTTGGTGGGTGGGTGAAAAAAGGAAAAACAATACAATTTATTTATTATAGGGTCTTTTTTGTAATTTTAAAAAGAGTGCCTGTGAAAAGTAAAAATATACACATTTATATATACTAGTTTGGGCATGTGAGCAATTTACTAGAGAAACTCATATTGATATTAAAACACATAGTGGTAGTCTAGTAGAAGAGAGATGCATGATTTTCAATGAGGCACATTTAAGAACATTAATTAGAAAGAAAAAAAAAATAGATGTATCAAAATGCATAGCTTTTTTTTTTTTTGGCTAAGGATCAAAATGCATGTTTGAATCACAAGAAGAAATATTTTGATAAGGATAAATTAAATGGAAAACTAATTAGGGTGTACATAGAAAACTTATTAAAGTGTACATATTGAAAAAAGAAAAAAAGATGTTTAAGTAAGGGTACATTTGAGAGTATTATTTCTATAAAATAAGAAGAAGAAAAATGTTTGATTAAGGGTATATTCGTGAAAAATTATTTTAGTAGAGTAAAAAAGGATGATGAGTGGATTTGAAAATATATAAGATATTATATCACGTGGAAAATGTGAAAAAGGTAGAAAAATGAGAAGAAACATAAATGAAGGACAAAAGAATGTATGTAAAAAATAAATGAAGAGCAAGAGTATAAAAAAAAAAAAAAAAGGTGAGGACAAAAAACAAAAGTAAGAAAAGCCAAAAAAAAAATAAATAAATAAATAAACCGGGAACGAAGCAGTTAATTTGTAGTTGTACACATGGAGACCCAAACGTGCAAGTCAATTTAAGGCTTTTATATACCTTAGATTAGATCAATTTAGATAAAGTTAGATTAGATAATATAACACACTTGGAGATTCAGTCACCCTTTAGGGTTTTGCTCCACTCTTATTGGCGGTAGGGCACGTAGACGCAACTTGCAGAAAGTTATTTGATTGCTAAATAGTATTGAAATTTGATTAATGCCCTCCAATCACAGTATGTTGTCTTGTAGAAAATGGTTAATCTTTTTTCTTTAAGAGAAAATGGTTAATATTATTGGATATGACATATGAGTATAAATTTCAAATAAGATAAATACCGATAATCACTATTTTTCTGTTACAAAATTCAATTTTAAATTAGGAGAATTTAGTAATTAAAATTTTTACAATGGACGATTTTCCATTTATGATATTACGTTCATTACATTTTACAAGATTCCTATTCTATGGGGTCTTTTACTTTTTAGGATGCCTGCGTAAATGGTTCTTCTGAATTTTTTCTTTTGTTATTTTTGTGCACTACCACATAGATTTATGGGTTAGTTTATTTATCTTCTTGGACTAAAATGCATCGAAAGCTCAGATTAATGGTTTTTTTTTTAATATAATTTGGAATAATTAGTACTCTGAAATTCATTGGGATTTATTATTATTTTTTTTTGAAATTTATACCTGTTGTTATTATTATTATTGCTACTGCTGCTTGCTGCTGCTGCTATTATTATTATTCGACTCCCAATAGAAATAAGTTTTCCTTTCATGATCTATATATAGAGCATAAGCCTGTATTCCAAGAGCAGCTACGCTAGGGTGTTGTGAAGCAGCACTGAGAGTGAGAGATTTTTTTGTGCTTTATATAGGCCATAAAGTTCACAAGTGGGGTTAACTACATCACACAGAATCGAAGGTTCTAAGCTTACTCCTCTTCTTTTTCTTCTTCTTGAATGTCTAGGATTGTATTCGTCTTCGTTTCCTCCTTATTTTTGGACACAACTCATCCTCTTCATCTTCCTTGCTAGCAGTGAGTAGTTCATCAGTGTCATAATCATCACTATCTAGTACCACATTATCATTTCCCGACTCTTCAATATTGATATCATGAAAACCATCCCAATTTTATGTCGGATCCGAGTCATTTCGAGGCATGTAAGGCTCCTCCTTATCTGACTCATCTTCACACTCAGAGTCTTGCAATTCCATTTCCTTCTCATTTCCACCGACACCTTCAACATCTGGCACATGATCTTTTTCAACCACAACATCATTGTTTCCACCCACTCCCTCGGATTCAAACTCACAACTAGCCATACTATCAATATTCACAGTCTCGGTCTCTTTTGGTACAGCAGGCTCGGATTGGGTTTCTGGCTCAGGGGGTACTTCTTCATCATCATTAAATATATACTCATCCACCCCTATGTTTAACCCCTTATCCGTTTGTAGTGGCATAACACTCTCACAGAAATAAACATTAATGTTCGTACCAGAATAATGATTATCAAACATCTGCACTATTTCATGATTCCTAGTGATAGGGTAAAAGCGATGCTTAAAATAATAATCCATATTAGTTTTGTACTTTATCTCTGTAGCGAGATCTTCCATATCTCTGAATGATAAGTACCCACTATCAACCCAATCAAAATATGTGACTTCACCTCCCACATACCATATTATACCATCTTCATCGAATATGCCACCCTATGATGCACTCTCAAAGTATAAATATCACAACAATCAGGAGCTGCAAATTTTTTCAAAACAAAAACGTGCAAGTCATCACTTTCAATGAATAAAATAAACACTTCTCATGCAAGTTATCACTTTCAATGAATATAATAATCACAAACTCTGGATCAGATTTTCTCGTGCATGGAATCAAAATTAAAAATAAAAAAAAAATTACACCACTCTTATCGTGCACAGAATCAGCCTAATAAAAAAAATAATATTCACCAAATAAAATAGCACATTCCTCAAAAAAAAAAAAATCCCCAAACAAAACAGTATACACTAACAAAATTAATTTATGGGTTTCTACAAAAAAAGAAAAAAAAAACATCAAAAAGAGGTCTCATTTACGTTATTCATTCCACCACTCACAACTCTTAATCAATAAAACTAAGAAAAAGGCATAAACTTCCGCGGTTGAGCATCTAAGAAACTTTAGTTATTTTTCGTGCCAAACAACCATCTTCCACCCAACAACAGATTTCGCCGTTGCCAATTGAAGTATAGTCCGAAATCAGAAGAAAATGATTCATTCAAATCAGACACTCACCCAATTTCCCACTCTCCAAAACCCCTTTCTCTTTGAAACTCTAATTCATTCCCAAAATTGATGAAGATGAACCGAATAAATGAAGAGTAAATTTTATTCAACAAAAAAAAAGAAAAAAGAAAAAATAAAGAGTAATTCGTGGGTTAAACCAATTTCAGGGTAATTTTGTCTTTTCACTGTAAACATGTCACGTGTCTTCTCCCATTAATATTATTTAGACGGATCTTGATAAAAAAATTTTAATTACATCAATTTAAAGAAATTGAAAATTATTTTAATAAAATTAAAAAAATAAGAATTAAATTATCACCTACTAAAAAAATTAAGACCATTTGTGTCAATTACTCTTAAAATTATTTTTCAAAAAGAATAAAGAAAGAAAGAAAATAATGGAGTTTCAGAGTTTCCTATGGGTGCGTTTGGAATTGGTTTCAAAATGTTTTTATTTTCTGTACGAAAATGAAAATGAAAACGTTTTTATTTTCATTTTGAAATCATTTCTGAAAATACGTTTGGTAGTTTTATTCTGAAATTATTTTCAGTTTTAAAAAAACTGAAATTGTGTTTGGTGGTTTAATTTCTGAAAACATGTAATAATATTTAAAATAATAATATATTAAATAAATAATATTATTAAATATATTAAATAATAATATATTAAATAAATAATATTATTAAATATATTAAATAAA